AAATAAGATGAATGAACAACATAAATAAAATAAGTTACATTCATTTGTTATTGGCTATGGTAGGTTATTGGTTATGTTCACATACTTATTTGATTACATCCACTTGTCTAAGATGACAACAGAGACTTTCAACCCAAAACCAGCTGTTGACTTGTGGATGCAAGCAGCTAATCACAGACTCAACCAGAGAGAAAGAAGTAGGCCTACATCATCAGCTACCATGTCTGACAGAGAGGAAGACAGTGAGGAGAACAGTCAGGAGGGGTTAGTGGATCGCCGGAGCTGTTAGATTAACATTAACATGCTTATTGTAGTTGTAAGTGCACTGCCTTGCGGCCTGTAGCACCATCCTTGATGGAGCATAGTGTGGGCTGGACCTGTATTTTACAGGAAAGGAGTGAGCAGAGGGTCGAGTGTCGATTCTTGTTCTGTTTTCTGTGACTATCTTCCTCACCCTCTCAGACTTTTAGTTGCGCGTGCTACTAAAGAGACGCGCTACCATGGAAACCAAACAATGTTGTAGCTGTATTAGCTGTATTAAAGTCTGAGTGGAAACAGTCGTGAGTAAATCTGATTTGGTCAGAAATCGGGAGAAATGCGGGAGAGATATGACCCCGGGAGGAAACCGGGAGAGGGCAGTGAAATCGGGAGTTTCCCGCGAAAATCGGGAGGGTTGGCAAGTATGCTTGGCATCTCATCTTGGGTGCAAGGTCATCAATGTTTGGGCTCAGGCTCTGAGCGGAGGAGACCCTCAGGATGGAGTGAAGGTGTGCGTGCAATATACCGGCGGGCCAGATCTAATAGGAATTAGAAATTATCCTGCGGGCCGAAATTAAATCCACCACGGGCCTGATTTGGCCCCCGGGCCTTCAGTTTGACTTAGAGGGATGTCATTGTTATTCCTTCCCTTTGAGATAATCCATTGGTTTTAACCCCTTCCTGTCACCCTTTGAGCAAAAGCACACATAGCAATGAGGACACTTATGCATTCAAGGTGAGCAGGAACTAATTGAGACTGCAGATAATGCAGCGTTTTTTATCAGAGGATCATTTAAAGCTTCAGAAAGCACGTTACTTTTGATGCTTTCTGGCAACGTGAAATGAACTTAATACCTCCTGACACCTCCGTTATTTCCTTTCTCACACACACTTCATCTCACACACACTTCATCTCACACACGTCCTCTCGTTCAGTCACAGTTACTGTTTGCAGGAGGATGAGAGGAGGCTTAGAGACTAAATCCTCACGCCTCCCATCACTCTTGTTTGTCAAGCAAGACGGATGAGGCAGCATGAACCTTTCCCGTCCAATAGGGAATACACACACACACACACACACACACACACACACACACACACACACACACACACACTGTCTCTATCCATTATCTCACACGGGACTCATTGCTACCAAACCCATCGGGGCTGGCTGTTTGTCGAAGAGGACGTGATGAATAACATTTCTGTTTTAGACGTTGGTTAAGAAAAGAAAAAAGGCAAATACATCGTTTTTTAATATATCCATTTTATTTAGATTAAGCTGTATTTCACATCGTAGAAGACAAAGACACTTTTATGATCAACAGGTTTCAAAAGAAAGGTATCGATGGATGAAGAGGGAAATCTCTATTTATCACTCGGTCTAGAAATATTGAAAAATGTCTATTGCATTTTCTAGGCTTTAAAGATATTGATTTTATAAGAGAACATAATCCGTAAATCTCCATATTTGATGAGTTGAAAAAAGCATTTTCTGATATATTTATTTTTAATGCAATTATCTTTTTCTGCAGAAGAATGCCATTGTTATTCCTCCCCCTAAAGATAACCCACTAGTTCAGACCCACCCTTTGAGCAAAAGAAGACCTGTCCTTACAGATAGTCAGAAATTGTGATATCCTTAAGAAGAAAGCGTTAAAAAAAAGCCGGTTTCAGCTGAAATATCTAAACTCACGAGCTCAGCAAAATATGTTTTAACTGTCCGTTGTGAAGATGATGGAGCAGCTGACAAGAAAAAAGGCAAATACATTGTCTTTTAAAGGCTGTATTTAACGTTATAGCATACAAACACACAAAGAAACACACTTTTATGATCGACATGTTTGAAAAGAAAAGTATAGATGGATGAAGAGGGAAGTCTCGTCCTCACAGATAGTCAGAAATTGTGATATCCTTAAAAAGAAAACGTTCGAAAAAAGCCAGTTTCAGCACAAATATCTAAACTCACGAGCTCAGAAGAAGATTTGTTTAACTGTCCGTTGTGAAGATGATGGAGCAGTTGACAGTCTCAGAGTTGCATCCTTCTCCAAAGGCAAACAGGAAGTACATCACCTTCCTTATCTTCGCCAACTCAGCGATTCTTTCCCCAAATTCGTACGAATCGGCCTCGTAGAATTGGACGATTTGGTCCTTTTCTCCCCTCCAAAAAACTCCAGCTGGCTCCAGAAGTTGCCGATTCATCAGGTTGGTTAAATCCGGCGTCCAGAGCTGAGAAGTGGCGGTTATTGTGAGGCGTGAGATATCTGGAAGACACACCGACCACCGTGAGAACTTTAGGGATTGCTTGCTGAAGTCCAGTTGATAAACGGTCTCGTTGGGACAAAGCAGACGTTCTCCCTCCTGCCTTTTTTGGCCTCGTTGCTGCAGAGATTGAACTCGTTGACGCATGAACTCCGTCAGATCGAGGTCCGGACGGAAAGAAACCTCCAGCTCCGAAGACATGTTTGTTTGAACTCCCGGTTACTCTTTCTCCTCGCTGGTGCAGAATGTGTTCAAAGCTGGTGCTTCACAGATCAACAGAGAGGTGCTAAGGAACAGATTTAATGATATGTTCAGGGTTTTCCCTCAGGGAGATTTGCCTGGTACTGTTTGTCTGTGTCTATTGTTTGCTTGGCTACAGGTGTTTAACTTTAATGCCAGACGTTAATTACCCTAAGGTAACATGTTCCTGATGAGGAAAGGGTCCTAATTGTGAGATTAAGAGTTAACGTTCTTAAAAAAAGTTAAAATTCCAACTTTTTCCGGTCAGAATGCCAAAAAAAGTCCGCATTTTTTGAAAAGTCAGAAACCAAAAAGTTTGAATTCTGAGATTAAAGTCAGAAGTCTGAAATGTTAGTCTATGAGGAAATGATCCGACTTCTCATTTTATTGATTAATAGACATTTTCCTGATGAGTTTATGGTCTCAATTGCTAGTTTCCAGTCTCTCTCAAGACAGAATGATAACTTTTTCGTACATTTTTGGTCCTATTTGAAGTAAAATACACGAGTTTGAACTCGTTGACGCATCAACTCCGTCAGATCGGTGTCCGGTCGGAAAGAAAGCTCCAGCTCTGAAGACATGTTTGAACTCCCAGTAACTCTTCGTGTTCAAAGCTGGAGTTTCACAGATCAACAGAGAGGTGCTAAGTAACAGACCTAATGATATTTGCCTCCCCAGCTCAGGGTTTGTCCTCAGGGAGCCGAGTACTGTTTGTACCACGTTTTGTTTGTGTCTTGTTTTCGCTTGGCTACAGGTGTTTAACTCTAATGCCAGACATTAATGACCCTAAGTCAACATGTTCCTGATGAGTTTATGGTCTCATTTTCTTCAGAATTCTGAGCAAAAGTCTTAATTCTGAGTCAACGTTCTCAAAAACAGTCAGAAAGCCGAAAATAGTGAGATTTTTCTGAAAAGTCAGAAACCAAAAAGTTGGAAATCTGAGATTAAAGTCAGAATTCTGAGATTTTAGTCGTCGAGAAAATGATCCCACTTGTCATTTGATTCTTTAACCTTAAAATATCTTTTCCTGATGAGTTTGTGGTCTTCATTGCTAGTTTGAAGTCAGGGTTCTCAGAAAAAGTAAGATTTCCAACTCAGGATTTCCAAGATTTCCTCCGAATTCTGAGTTCAAAGTCAGTCTAGTCTAAAAAATGATCCTACTTCTCATTTGATTCATTACCCTTAATAGACCTTTTCCTGGTGAGTTATGGTCTTAATTGTTGGTTTCAAGTCTCTATCAAACAGAATGATTTGATAGAGACTTGAAACTAGCAATCAAGATAGCATTTTAGAGGGATTGAACCTGTTTCTGTATTTTTTCACTTAGCTAAAGTTAATTACCCGCCTAAAATGGTCTCGTGCATTGTTCAGTTGTACTTCGTTTCACCGTCTCTTGACATTTCTGCTTAAATAAAGTCAAGATGTTAAATTCAAGGCTTCAACACTGGAGTCCACAAACCAATGGATGTTATGGGAGGGAGAGATTCCCTAACAGTGATTCCCTTTGGTCTCTCCGTGCTGACAGCTTGCAGAGGAAGTGCTTTCTGCTTGTGTTTCAAGCGGTCAGTCATCAAGTCTGTTTCCTCTCAGAGTTCAGATGAAAGCTGAGATGGATGGAGCCTCACTTTCCACAGTGCAGAGACACAGAGTTTGAGCAGGAGCCTCCAGGGGGATTACAGAACGACTCTGAGGTTTGATGGTGCAGTGCTTTGTTTGTCTTCCTCCTCTTCGGTCCTCTGGAGAGGCCACACTGTCTCCATCAGCAGAGTGTCGCCTCCTGTAGAGAGGCTTGACAGGAAGTGCTGTTAGCAAACCTGACATCTCCAAGGACGCTGTTGTCACACCGCTCACCTGTGGTGTCGCTATCTGAATCAACCAGTTTTTATTGTGCACCAGGGGAGGAGCATGTTTTTTAAAAGTAATTACAAGAAGTCAGAATTTAGAAAAAGTCAGAATTCCTAAAAAAATCTGAATTTGTTTGAGTTCTGTGGAAAAGTCGGAAATTTGTAAAAAAAGTCAGAAATCCAAAAAAAGTCAAAATTCTGAGAAAAAAAGTCAACATTTCATAAAAGTTGAATTCTGAGAAAATGACTGAATCCCCCCCAAAAAAGATTTCTTAGAAATAAATCAAAATTCTTAGAAAAATCCCAAATCAGCTCCATCAGCTGATGAGTGTCGCCTCCTGTAAGAGGTTTGACAGGAAGTGCTGTCAGTAACCCTGACATCTGCACACCGCTCACATGTGGTGTCGCTTCTCGGGAGGAGAAAGAGCCAAACTACGGGTATGAAAGCTGAGGCGAATTCAGAGGAGCTTTGCATTGTCTCTAAAAATCTACGAATAAATGCTGAGTCAGAATGTTGAGAAAAAGTCTGAATTTGGAGAAAAAGTCAGAAATTTAAAAAAAAGTCTGATTGTTGAGAAAAAGTGAAAAATTCTGAACAAAGTCAGCATTTAAAAAAGTAAGAATTTTGAAAACGTCAGCTCACATGTGGTATCGCTCACTGAATCCTTTCCAGTATTGCGTTGTACTGGTGGACAATTCACAGCTCAGGTCGCCTCAAGGTTGGGTTTTTTTTTATGACACTGGCTTATGGGGGGAAATGTGTGTTTACTAACCAAAGGGTCAAAGGTTAGATACCAAGGTCCTGCAGTAAACATGTCAAAGTGTCCTTGGACAAGATACTTAACACCAGATTGCTCCCGTAGGTATATTTAGTATTGAAGTGTATACTGTAAGTTGCCTTGAATACAAACAAACATTTTAGTAATGAAGTGAAATTTAAAGGGTCCCTATTCTGCTTTTTTTTGTCTGTGGTTTTCGCCTTTCCTGCAGTGTGTCTGCTAAGGCTAAAATCCCTCATGTTGAGAAAAACAACAACAACAACAACACACACACACACACACACACAGTTATAACCTCTCACCCGTGTCCTATTACAGCTGGATTTATGATTGAGAGACTCACAGTGATAAATCTGTCCCCTGGTCCTGAATGTATCACCAGACAAGAGGCTCTCCACCTTCACGTTATTTATTCTCCACGAAACACCGCCTGTTTGTTTCTCTCACCTTCCCTCCAGAGAGGCAAAAGTACACATCCTTTCCTCAAGTAGAAGTACAGATACTCGTGTTTCAAAATACTCAAAATGTAAGAAGTAGAAAGTACAGGTATTTGAGTTCAACATGTAAGAAGTAGAAAGTACAGGTATTTCTGTTCAACATGTAAGAAGTAGAAAGTACAGGTATTTGTGTTCAACATGTAAGAAGTAGAAAGTACAGGTATTTGAGTTCAACATGTAAGAAGTAGAAAGTACAGGTATTTGAGTTCAACATGTAAGAAGTAGAAAGTACAGGTATTTGAGTTCAACATGTAAGAAGTAGAAAGTACAGGTATTTGTGTTCAACATGTAAGAAGTAGAAAGTACAGGTATTTGGGTTCAACATGTAAGAAGTAGAAAGTACAGGTCTTTGTGTTCAACATGTAAGAAGTAGAAAGTACAGGTATTTGAGTTCAACATGTAAGAAGTAGAAAGTACAGGTATTTGGGTTCAACATGTAAGAAGTAGAAAGTACAGGTATTTGTGTTCAACATGTAAGAAGTAGAAAGTACAGGTATTTGAGTTCAACATGTAAGAAGTAGAAAGTACAGGTCTTTGTGTTCAACATGTAAGAAGTAGAAAGTACAGGTATTTGAGTTCAACATGTAAGAAGTAGAAAGTACAGGTATTTGAGTTCAACATGTAAGAAGTAGAAAGTACAGGTATTTGTGTTCAACATGTAAGAAGTAGAAAGTACAGGTATTTCTGTTCAACATGTAAGAAGTAGAAAGTACAGGTATTTGAGTTCAACATGTAAGAAGTAGAAAGTACAGGTATTTCTGTTCAACATGTAAGAAGTAGAAAGTACAGGTATTTGAGTTCAACATGTAAGAAGTAGAAAGTACAGGTATTTGAGTTCAACATGTAAGAAGTAGAAAGTACAGGTATTTCTGTTCAACATGTAAGAAGTAGAAAGTTCAGGTATTTGTGTTCAACATGTAAGAAGTAGAAAGTACAGGTATTTGTGTTCAACATGTAAGAAGTAGAAAGTACAGGTATTTGGGTTCAACATGTGAGAAGTAGAAAGTACAGGTATTTGGGTTCAACATGTAAGAAGTAGAAAGTACAGGTATTTGTGTTCAACATGTAAGAAGTAGAAAGTACAGGTATTTGTGTTCAACATGTGAGAAGTAGAAAGTACAGGTCTTTGTGTTCAACATGTAAGAAGTAGAAAGTACAGGTATTTGTGTTCAACATGTAAGAAGTAGAAAGTACAGGTATTTGTGTTCAACATGTAAGAAGTAGAAAGTACAGGTATTTGAGTTCAACATGTAAGAAGTAGAAAGTACAGGTATTTGAGTTCAACATGTAAGAAGTAGAAAGTACAGGTATTTGAGTTCAACATGTAAGAAGTAGAAAGTACAGGTATTTGTGTTCAACATGTAAGAAGTAGAAAGTACAGGTATTTGGGTTCAACATGTGAGAAGTAGAAAGTACAGGTATTTGGGTTCAACATGTAAGAAGTAGAAAGTACAGGTATTTGAGTTCAACATGTAAGAAGTAGAAAGTACAGGTATTTGAGTTCAACATGTAAGAAGTAGAAAGTACAGGTATTTGTGTTCAACATGTGAGAAGTAGAAAGTACAGGTATTTGAGTTCAACATGTAAGAAGTAGAAAGTACAGGTATTTGGGTTCAACATGTAAGAAGTAGAAAGTACAGGTATTTGGGTTCAACATGTAAGAAGTAGAAAGTACAGGTATTTGGGTTCAACATGTAAGAAGTAGAAAGTACAGGTATTTGGGTTCAACATGTAAGAAGTAGAAAGTACAGGTATTTGTGTTCAAAATGTAAGAAGTCAAAGTAAAAAGTGGTCAGAAAAATAAGTAGTGGAGTAAAGTACTGATACTAGTAGAGTAACAAAGTATTTGTACTCCACTAATTCCAACCTCTGCTAAGATGGTACCACATTTGGACTTAAAGGTCTTCTACTATTTGTAGGCATATTTTATAGATCTCAGATATATAAAATAGACCCTCTTCCTCCCCAGGTTATCCCAGACTGGAAGGAGCAGGAATGGGACACGGAAAAGCCAGAATCGTACGCGGGGATTTTCCACTTCCGTTTCTGGCGTTTTGGGGAGTGGGTGGACGTGGTGATCGACGACCGGCTGCCCACGGTGGACAACCAGCTGGTCTACTGCCACTCCAACGACAGCAACGAGTTCTGGAGCGCGCTGGTGGAGAAGGCCTACGCTAAGTGAGTGTAGCACTTTATACAGAGGGGATTCACAGTATGAATACTACCATACTTAAAGGTCCCTATTATGCTATTTTTAGGCATATATTACAGGTCTCAGATATATAAAAAAACATGTCTATGAAGTGTTTTGCTCGAAATACCAAACAGATCACCAATTCTAGACATCCCTCATATCCCTCTATTTCAGCCTTGTTAGAGAAGCTTATTCTGGGTCCGTAGCTTAAAAATATATATATATTTATATCCTGCTTCTTTACACATACTCTCTCCAGTACAGGGTTAGCTCTGAGTGTTAGCGATGCTTGCTAATGTAAACAAAGACCATATTACTTCCAAAACACGTCGTGCATTGTTTCTGGTAGCAACGTTTCTGATAGGACCGTGGGTCTAAAGCCCGCCCACTTTTCAGATATTACGTCATATCGGATGCAAATCTGGATCAGCTCCGTTTTTAGAGATGTGGGTACGGAGGAAAAGAGAGAGGGTTTATTTCCTGACACTTTGTGAGTTCCCTGACTCACCGGGAACACATGTTTATGTATAAAAGACATAAAAAAGAGCGTTTTGCATGATAGGAGACCTTTAAGACTTAAAATCCATGGATGGATTCATAATTGATCTCTTGACATTTGATTACGTGACAATGGTTGCAACTCTAGTAAATATAACCACTTCCTGTCAGGGTGTACGGCATCTACGAGGCGTTGGACGGGGGAAACACGGCGGACGCTTTGGTGGATTTCACTGGTGGAGTTTCAGAACCCGCAGACCTTCTGGAGGGTCAGATGGCAACAGATGAGGTCGCCAGAAACCAGCTGTTCGAACGAGTCCTAAAAGTTCACAACAGAGACGGATTAATCAGCTGCTCCATCAGGGTGAGAGGACTCTTTAAAGTAGAGACACTACATACTGATATACACCTGAACATCAGCAGGAGAGGACTCTTTAAAGTAGAGACACTACATACTGATATACATCTGAACATCAGCAGGAGAGGACTCTTTAAAGTAGAGACACTACATGCTGATATACACCTGAATATCAGCAGGAGAGGACTCTTTAAAGTAGAGACACTACATACTGATATACACCTGAACATCAGCAGGAGAGGACTCTTTAAAGTAGAGACTCGACACACTGATATACACCTGAACATCAGCAGGAGAGGACTCTTTAAAGTAGAGACACTACATACTGATATACACCTGAACATCAGCAGGAGAGGACTCTTTAAAGTAGAGACACTACATGCTGATATACACCTGAATATCAGCAGGAGAGGACTCTTTAAAGTAGAGACACTACATACTGATATACACCTGAACATCAGCAGGAGAGGACTCTTTAAAGTAGAGACTCTACACACTGATATAGACCTGAACATCAGCAGGAGAGGACTCTTTAAAGTAGAGACTCTACACACTGATATACACCTGAACATCAGCAGGAGAGGACTCTTTAAAGTAGAGACACTACAGACTGATATGCACCTGAACATCAGCAGGAGAGGACTCTTTAAAGTAGAGACACTACATACTGATATACACCTGAACATCAGCAGGAGAGGACTCTTTAAAGCTGATGGAGTGTTTCTTGTAAACTCATGTATGCTTGTTAGGAAAACAAGTTCACTGTTTATGAATGAGATGTGGCCCTTGCTCCCCCGTCTCATGCCAATCTATTCCCCGACGTCCTGCTCCAGCAGAAACTAATTCACAATCCCTTATTGTAATTCAGAATCAGGCGCAGTTCCATTTTTAAATGATACAGCTCTTTTATATGCATGAGTTTTTACACTGGAGGGTCTATTGTTCAAATGAGAGCTTGGGGAATAGAACCACCCCGTGCAAAAAGGGCATTTTCCTCCTTTATCCATTGTTGTTATTACTTAAGGGTCTATTTCTCAATGATATATTGCTGTTCTAGGAATGCATACATTATATGTCTATCCTCAGGGAGTATATACTATGTGTTGCTGATTCATGGATCAAGGAACAGCTAATGTTGGGCTATAAAGGAACTACAGCACGGTCACATGACTTCACGTCACCACCGCTAAGCTAAAGGCGGCTAATGTTGGGCTATAAAGGAACTACAGCTCGGTCACATTACTTCACGTCACCACCGCTAAGCTAAAGGAGGCTAATGTTGGGCTATAAAGGAACTACAGCTCGGTCACATGACTTCACGTCACCACCGCTAAGCTAAAGGTGGCTAATGTTGGGCTATAAAGGAACTACAGCACGGTCACATGACTTGACGTCACCACCGCTAAGCTAAAGGTGGCTAATGTTGGGTTATAAAGGAACTACAGCACGGTCACATGACTTCACGTCACCACCGCTAAGCTAAAGGTGGCTAATGTTGGGCTATAAAGGAACTACAGCACGGTCACATGACTTCACGTCACCATTGCTAAGCTACAGACGGCTAATGTTGGGCTATAAAGGAACTACAGCTCGGTCACATGACTTCACGTCACCACCGCTAAGCTAAAGGCGGCTAATGTCGGCCGTGATGACGTTTAGTCGTCTCATTTAGACACTTGTTAGCAAGCGCTGTTTTGAAATTCAACAGTGGGGTATTGACTGATGTATTTTATGTCGTAGAATTAAAATCTCTCCATCTTGTTTTTAACCACGTTATTTTAGGCTATCAGTCAGAAAACCATTGACTTCCATACAAGAGAACAGGAAGTGCTAAAATGTTGAGTTGTTTCTGGGTTTTTTTAATCATTCCTGCACCTCTATTTTATGAAACCTCTAACTCTTATGCACAATTCTCTAAGAATGAAAGAAAAGCTAATCCGTCACAGGTATTATGAGGCTAGAAATAACAGACACTATAATCTATAATCTAATAAAAACCAAATAACAAGCCGATCAAGGACAGTGTTTCTGAAGTCCATTTTGTAGTATTTGTCATATCTGTCATCGTGACATATTAATCAGGCTCTCAGTATTTTCAGGGATAATCGAGTATGAGAAGTGAAGTGTAATGTCTCACAAAAAGCCACTGAACACATCATCATTGGATCGAAGAACCAATTTTCTGATAACGCTGTAATGACTCTCGCCTCTTTCCCTTCCTCCATCCAAGGCCTTTTATTCTCACATTTCTAATATGCAAGCGTCCCATCTCTGTTACCGTAAATCTTCCAGTGTGTTGTTTTCCAGACAAAGAAAAAGAGCCATCCAGTGGCCTCTCTAAATGAACGATTTAAGATGCATTTGGTAATAAAGCAATGTTTTACAAATCAATATTGTAGTGGCAAAAACCTAAAGGAAAACCAGCAAGAAATTCTTATGCAGGAAAATATTTAACGTCCAGGTGAGGATAGCCTTATTTATCTCGTTGTATTCCAATAATACTATATGATAAAGAATAATAGTTTCACCTGTGTTTTCCTTGGTTAAAAAACATTTTCTCATTCTTATGCGTCAATCCAGTGCCCTAAACCGCCTTCAAAACAAAAGCATGAAGAAATACTTAAATTAACTTAAATAATTACACATGTTGGAGCTACATTTTGATTTATATTATTGAATAGTTAAACCTTTTTTTTCACGCTGTTTTTGTTTATAATACATTTATTATTATTTAGTATTACTAATAGTTAGTTAAAGAAGTTTTCATGCTATTATTTTGAAGGTGTATTTGGGCACCTTTGACACTTTAACATTAGAAAGTCATAATTCATCCATCTGTATAAAGTGTTTTCACACTGTTGATATTTAATTTAATAATATGCAATAATATGCAATATATATATATATATTTACTTTAAAGTTCTGTTTTTATTTTCTATTTTGAGATGTTTATATGTTATGCTTATGCCTATTGGCTCCTAATTGGGATCAATAATTACATTTTTAATTCCTCTAATGTACAATGCCTTGTCTTTTTATGCTGCTGCAACGCAAACATTTACCAAATTGGGATCAATAAAGTACTTCTTATCTTATCTTAATAATAAAACCTTTAATATAAGTAAAAACAGCTAGAAAATAAATGTTTAACTCTTAAATAATATAGATCAATGTAAAGCTCTGACAAATATTTCGCTTTTCGACATTGAAGCTCATGATGCAACTCTGCCAGTCTTTGTATTTTCCATATTTCCGGAGATCCACATACGTTTCCCAGCTTTAAATCCTCCCGTTTTTGTTTTTCTCTCCCCCAGGCGACCACGATAGAGGACATGGAGGCGCGGCTGGACTGCGGTCTGGTGAAAGGCCACGCCTATGCCGTGACGGACGTGAAGAAAGTGAGGCTCGGTCACGGGCTGCTGGCCTTCTTTAAGTCAGAGAAACTGCACATGATCCGCATGAGGAACCCCTGGGGAGAGAAGGAGTGGAGCGGACCCTGGAGCGACAGGTAAACTACTATTAACTACTAACTAAACAACTACTAACTAACCAACTATTAACTACTAACTAAACAACTAGTAACTACTAACCAACTACTAATTAACCAACTATTAACTACTAACTAAACAACTATGAACTACTAACTAAACAACTACTAACTAACCAACTATTAACTACTAACTAACCAACTATTAACTACTAACTAACCAACTATTAACTACTAACTAACCAACTACAAACTAGCCAACTATTAACTACTAACTAACCAACTATTAACTACTAACTAACCAACTATTAACTACTAACTAAACAACTATTAACTACTAACTAAACAACTACTAACTAACCAACTATTAATTACTAACTAACCAACTACTAATTAACCAACTATTAACTACTAACTAAACAACTATTAACTACTAACTAAACAACTACTAACTAACCAACTATTAACTACTAACTAACCAACTACTAACTAACCAACTACAAACTAGCCAACTATTAACTACTAACTAGCCAACTATTAACTACTAACTAACCAACTATTAACTACTAACTAAACAACTATTAACTACTAACTAAACAACTACTAACTAACCAACTATTAATTACTAACTAACCAACTACAAACTAGCCAACTATTAACTACTAACTAACCAACTATTAACTACTAACTAACCAACTATTAACTACTAACTAACCAACTACAAACTAGCCAACTATTAACTACTAACTAACCAACTATTAACTACTAACTAACCAACTATTAACTACTAACTAACCAACTACAAACTAGCCAACTATTAACTACTAACTAACCAACTATTAACTACTAACTAAACAACTATTAACTACAAACTAACCAACTACTAACTAACCAACTATTAACTACTAACTAACCAACTATTAACTACTAACTAGCCAACTATTAACTACTAACTAACCAATTATTAACTACTAACTAACCAACTACAAACTAGCCAACTATTAACTACTAACTAAACAACTATTAACTACTAACTAACCAACTACTAACTAACCAACTATTAACTACTAACTAAACAACTATTAACTACTAACTAACCAACTACTAACTAACCAACTACTAACTACTAACTAACCAACTATTAACTACTAACTAGCCAACTACTAACTAACCAACTATTAACTACTATTAACTACTAACTAGCCAACTATTAACTACTATTAACTACTAACTAACCAACTACTAACTAAACAACTATTAACTACTAACTAGCCAACTATTAACTACTAACTAACCAACTATTAACTACTAACTAACCAACTACTAACTAACCAACTATTAACTACTAACTAACCAACTATTAACTACTCCAATTACTAACTAGCCAACTATTAACTACTAACTAACCAACTATTAACTACTAACTAACCAACTATTAACTACTAACTAACCAACTACTAACTAACCAACTATTAACTACTAACTAGCCAACTATTAACTACTAACTAACCAACTATTAACTACTAACTAAACAAACTGATGTCACCAATTTACCTCTTGGAAAAATTATGAAACACCCTGAAAACGTGTTCGCCCAGTAGACCAGCAGTAGAAGAGGCACGTTATTAACATCGTTGACACTTTTAACGCCGTTTTACTCTCTCACAAACACAATGTAAGCATCCGGGGCTAGAGGTCACATGACTTCCGGAAAGATAACTCTTAGAATTTTTTAACAAAATAAAACAAAGTTCAAGCATACATTAGGCACTCACAATAAATAAGGACACTTTGAGCGTCAGCTACAACTCCTATTGGCTAGTGCTCATTGGACGTGATAGGCATAGAAGCTAAGGGGGCGGGACATCTCTAAGCGGGTTGACCAATCACAATTCAACGCACATTTCTTCTAATCTACTTCAGAAAAAGTCTTCTCACATTAATACATGATCAGTTAGAAACATCATATTTCTATCCAGTTATCGACATAGTTTTCACAGTTCAAGTCTTTTAATTAAGTCACCTCTTCTGCTAATTTGAGAGAATACGCGCCACCTCTTGCTTACCCTGATGAACTGTAGTAATGGAGTCAAACAGGCATTCAATCTTATTTTCTTATGGGTTTTTTCTCAAAATGTGGCTAAAATTGATGCTACATTTGGATGGATTGGGACAGTTGAGCCATCTTCATCAATCTGTCCTGGACGGTGATTGAGGCTCCAGACAAACCAGGTCTTTGTCCTTTCATACGTGACCTTGCTGTGACCCGTAACTAGATTCACTAATTTAATTTTCAAGACGTCTAAGCTCACTGGTCTCCTTTGGTCTCTTAAGGATTGACGAACTGGTCTTAAAGACACTGCCTGTGAACGAGCAAACAAATAAATAAAAATCCAATGCCCACAGGCTGCACAAAGGGGAAATGTCATGCAGACAATGAAAAATGGAGATGCAATCAAGCTAATGGGCCGCAGAGAGGAGAGGACATGACTGGATTTATTCCCTGTGTGGGAGCATGTCTTCTATTTCTGAGAATCACATCAGCCAGTAAATCTCAGAAATCATTTTCCCGTCAAAACAGAAATGGAGATGCTTCACCTTCAATTCAATGTTTAGGAGAATCAGAATGACTGGGTCTTCAATCAGGTGGCTTTTATTTCTCCCTAGTAGAGATTTGTTTAGTTCAGAGTCAGACATTACTTCTGATGGCAAAAGGTAATGGTGGTAGTGGTGCAGGAATGAGTCCTAAACCCAGAAAAGTGTCGGCTTTTTAACACTTCATGCTCTTCAATGGTTTTTTGGACATGTTTTTGGTGGTTAGCCTGAAATAAGATCTTGGAAGGAAGAGATTTTAACGTGTTGTTCTACGACATAAAATACATCATGAAATATCCCACTGGTGAATAAAAAAAATGGCGGTTGCTAACAAGTATCTAAATCAGACGACTAAACGTCATCACACCCAACATTAGCCGTCTTTAGCTTAGCAGTGGTGACGTGAAGTCATGTGACCGTGCTGTAGTTCCTTAATAGCCCAAAATTAGCCACCTTTAGCTTAGCGGTGGTGACGTGAAGTCATGTGACCGTGCTGTAGTTCCTTTATAGCCCAACATTAGCCACCTTTAGCTTAGCGGTGGTGACGTGAAGTCATGTGACCGTGCTGTAGTTCCTTTATAGCACAACATTAGCCTCCTTTAGATTAGTGGTGGTGACGTGAAGTCATGTGACCGTGCTGTAGTTCCTTTATAGCCCAACATTAGCCGCCTTTAGCTTAGCAGTGGTGACGTGAAGTCATGTGACCGTGCTGTAGTTCCTTTATAGCCCAACATTAGCCGCCTTTAGCTTAGCGGTGGTGACGTGAAGTCATGTGACCGTGCTGTAGTTCCTTTATAGCCCAACATTAGCCACCTTTAGCTTAGCGGTGGTGACGTGAAGTCATGTGACCGTGCTGTAGTTCCTTCATAGCCCAACATTAGCCACCTTTAGCTTAGCGGTGGAGACGTGAAGTCATGTGACCGTGCTGTAGTTCCTTTATAGCCCAACATTAGCCTCCTTTAGCTTAGCGGTGGTGACGTTAAGTCATGTGACCGTGCTGTAGTTCCTTTATAGCCCAACATTAGCCACCTTTAGCTTAGCGGTGGTGATGTGAAGTCATGTGACCGTGCTGTAGTTCCTTTATAGCCCAACATTAGCTTCCTTTAGCTTTGCGGTGGTGACGTGAAGTCATGTGACCGTGCTCTAGTTCTTTTATAGCACAACATTAGCCACCTTTAGCTTAGCGGTGGTGACGTGAAGTCATGTGACAGTGCTGTAGTTCCTTTATAGCCCAACATTAGCAACCTTTAGCTTAGCGGTGGTGACGTGAAGTCATGTGACCATGCTGTAGTTCCTTTATAGCCCAACATTAGCCGCCTTTAGCTTTGCGGTGGTGACGTGAAGTCATGTGACCGTGCTGTAGTTCTTTTATAGCCCAACATTAGCAACCTTTAGCTTAGCGGTGGTGACGTGAAGTCATGTGACAGTGCTGTAGTTCCTTTATAGCCCAACATTAGCAACCTTTAGCTTAGCGGTGGTGACGTGAAGTCATGTGACCATGCTGTAGTTCCTTTATAGCCCAACATTAGCCGCCTTTAGCTTTGCGGTGGTGACGTGAAGTCATGTGACCGTGCTGTAGTTATTTTATAGCCCAGCATTAGCAACCTTTAGCTTAGCGGTGGTGACGTGAAGTCATGTGACCGTGCTGTAGTTCCTTTATAGCCCAACATTAGCTTCCTTTAGCTTAGCGGTGGTGACGTGAAGTCATGTGACCGTGCTGTAGTTCTTTTATAGCCCAACATTAGCTTCCTTTAGCTTAGCGGTCGTGACGTGAAGTCATGTGACCGTGCTGTAGTTCCTTTATAGCCCAACATTAGCTGCCTTTAGCTTAGCAGTGGTGACGTGAAGTCATGTGACCGTGCTGTAGTTCCTTTATAGCCCAACATTAGCCGCCTTTAGCTTAGCAGTGGTGACGTGAAGTCATGTGACCGTGCTGTAGTTCCTTTATAGCCCAACATTAGCCGCCTTTAGCTTAGCGGTGGTGACGTGAAGTCATGTGACCGTGCTCTAGTTTCTTTATAGCCCAACATTAGCCACCTTTAGCATTATTTTTCTGCAATAATCCAAAAACACTTGGATTAGTCCCATTAGATTTTTGTAGAGGGAACCAGGGAGATGCTGCCTTCAGGGTTCTCTACAAACATATATCATCACTGAACCGCTCTATGCTCAGATGGAGGAATATCTGTTGAATCTGTGCCTCTCAGACTCAGTGAAACAAACAGGGTGGCGCTGAAGCCGGATCATAATGGAGTCTGAATTATTGATGAGGCCGAAGAAAAGAAAGATGGAATTAAAGAGACGTGAGTCATCGTTCCTCTTCCTCAATCATTCGCTCGCTGGCACTGAATAATTTATCTCTGGTTTGTTAAAAAAAAAATGGTGTATGGAGTCTGACAGGCTTTTGAGACGCAGACATGTGAGTGAATTATAAACACAGACATAAACACACACAGATAATGCTTCCTGTAAAGAGCAGTGAACACACACTGTTGTGATTCACAACACACAGCTGACTGTTTAACATAACGGTGCCCAGGAGGGGTAGACGCCATAGACTGGTAGACACGTACATCATGTATTTGAACTTAATACACTTGCTGTATATAATTATTTAAGGATTCACAAAGAGGGATGCTACTTTTATATTATCGTTAAATCTGCCGTTTATATTCTAGATTAGTTTTTTACTATGTCAAATTTCAGAAAACAATTAAAAGATGTCAATCCCAGTTCCTGAAAGTCCCAGGAGATGTCTTTAAATGTCTGTGTCTCAAAAAGATTCAGTTTAATATGAAAAAAGCACATTTAAAAAAATTTAAAGGCTACATTTTCTGCAATTTTTTTGAAACACATCTTAAGCGATTAATCAATTATCAAAGTAGTTGTTTTTTTGTTCATCTACTAATTGTGTGTGTGTGTGTGTGTGTGTGTGTGTGTGTGTGTGTGTGTGTGTGTGTGTGTGTGTGTGTGTGTGTGTGTGTGTGTGTGTGTGTGTGTGTGTGTGTGTGTGTGTGTGTGTGTGTGTGTGTGTGTGTGTGTGTGTGTGTGTGTGTGTGTGTGTGTGTGTGTGTGTGTGTGGTGTGTGTGTGTGTGTGTGTGTGTGTGTGTGTGTGTGTTCTCTGTAGTTCGGAGGAGTGGAACAAGGTGAGCAAGAGTGAGAGAGAGAAGCTGGGAGTCACCGTGCAGGACGACGGAGAGTTCTGGTGAGAAACATAAATATATACTTAAACAACATATATCAACATTTATTTTGCTGTTTATTTATTTTTTGCTGTTTTATTTTGTTATCGTTGACTCCATTATTTTTGAGATGGTGCTGACAAAGTAAAAAAATGTACATTTAAAATGTGGTATGTGTTCTTTGTTGAAACTGTCTGTAACAGTTTGGGCTGATAGTGATGTAAAGTGTTATTACAGCCTAGATGAATACTCGATTCTGATTGGTCCATTTGGACATTCCAGAGGTTGGTTATATTTTTCTAGCAGACCGTTACTAAGGAAAACACACTGTTACTAAGGAGAGCAGACCGTTGCTAAGGAAAACACACTGTTACTAAGGAGAGCAGACAGTTGCTAAGGAAAAAGGAAAAACAGACTGTTGTGTTGTGTTGATAAAGGGACTATATGCAGTCATATCAATCCGCAGAAAGAAGTCCGGTCAATTTAACGTGTGGACAACAAACACTAGATTTAATTCATCAAAAAATTACTTTTGTAATTTTACCTTTTATATTTTTTTACTATTATTCATGATGACTAAACTTTACTAAACCTTATACTAAAAGTATAGAAAAGTAAAAGAGAACAAGAGAAGGAAAGGAAGTAAACACTAAAGTGAAGAGGAGAAGAAGACAGACTGTGTTCAGTTTACATGCTAAGCTCAGTTAAGCTAACCTAGCGATAGCATCATGTTTGATGTGGTATCAATCTTCTCAAATAACAAGTGCACTTCGGAAAGCTATTCCTTCAAGGCGTTTCCACCTTAAAATAAACTGAATACTTTAAGGTAAAATGGTCACATATTCCATGTCAGCACCTGAAATCCTCGTCCTCCTTTAACGACTCTCCCTTTTCTTTGTTCCCGACTTCATTTCCTCTGTTTTTAATCCTGTGTGAAGCTCTTCTTCTCTCAATCTTCTTCCCTCTCGTTGGTCTCTTCTCTCTCCTCCTCCTGCAGGATGACCTTCGATGATTTCTGCCAGTATTTCACGGACCTGATCATGTGCCGCCTCATCAACACGTCGTACCTGAGCATCCACAAAACCTGGGAGGAGGAAGTGATGCGAGGATCCTGGGTCCACCGTCAGGATCCTCTGCGAAACCGATCAGGAGGATGCATCAACCACAAGGCCAGCTTCCTGCAGAGCCCCCAGGTCAGTGTTTACATCCTGTTCTGAAGTCAAAGTACTATTAACACAGTCTAAATACTATTACTGCAGGTACAAGTCCTGCATTTAAAAAGGTAAAAGTATGTTAGTATGATCAGCAAAATGTCACCACATGTGTGACCCGCTCTATCAAAATCTGCCGGATTTCGTAACGGTGCATTCTGAAATTAACTTGGATTTGGGTCAAAAACTCTAAATAGTTGTTGGTTGATTTCGAAACAAACAATATTTTGGCTTTCAGAAAATGCTACTTTTATCACATTGTTATGGAAGCAAACAAGAGACAGAAGTATTTGAATTTTATCAGACACCGAATTTATAGCATTGAAAATATTTACTTTGAAAATCATGGATCTGAATTTTTTTTGCTCCGAATTTACCTATGTGAAATAAAAATGTAAAAATTCAAGTTAAAAAAATGTGAATGTTCAAATTCAGATCCCAAAAATTCAAGTGAAAAAAATTCGACGTCAAATATTTCGGTGTTTAAAATTCGATGTCAAAACATTTGGTGTATAAAATTCGATGTCAAAAAATTGCGATGCAGCATCATCCGGGCTACTCAGACAGGATAAGCAATCGAGTCCGAATGTATGGAAGCAAACAAGAGACATTAAAATGGTTTGCTTCCATACATTGTGTTTTTTTTAGGGCTGTCAAGTTTTGCGTTAACGCGTTAACGCAAAAAAAATTAACGGCACTAATTATTTTAACGCGATTAACGCATGTGTATTTTTTGTCCTCGGCCGCCCCGTAGTTTCAGAGCGCATCGAGGTTAAAATACCATCTACAAGCTGATGCTGACAGCCCCGCTCCTGCTGCTCTCACACACACACACACACACACACACACACACACACACACACACACACACACACACACACACACACACACACACACACACACACACACACACACACACACACACACACACACACACACACACACACACAGGTTGTTGTGTTTAATATTCATGAGAATATTTGTCATTGTTCAAATGATAATAAACATTAGCATAAAGCATATTTTTCCACTCATATGTTGATAAGAGTATTAAAAACTTGAAAAATATTCCTCTAAGGTACATTTAGAACAGATCAAAAATATGCGATTAATTTGCGATTAATCGCGATAAACTATTTTAATCGACTGACAGCCCTAGTTTTTTTATTTAACTTCTAATCTAGCCCCTTCATCTTGATCTCTAAATAAACCAGATTAAAGCTCTAAACTTCAAAGTGAAACAATTGGAGCAACATTTTTTTTGTAATGATTCCAGTTTTAGTGTTATATTTCAATACATACTGCAATAACAAGTAATATTGCAAAGTCCGTATTTTTCTTATATTATGCAGCCCTCATTTGTAAACTAAGCACAACATGACATTGTGAAATTAAAGAAAGAAATGTATTATTAATAAACATCAACATAAATAATCTCAATATTGATCCAAATAGACAGTAATGTAATTGTGGATAATGTGTACTTAATGAGTACACTTGAATTTCCTTTTTAGTTTTCTTCGGCAAGACTGCAAAGGAAGAGATGATTTTAAATGATTTTTTTAAAGTGATGGAAGTATTTTGATATTTGAAAAAGTGTGTTTATGTTGTTAATGAATTATAGTTTAATGTAACTATTGTTGGATTGTGTTCGTTGTCGCGTCCAGGAGGAAGTTTAAAATAAGAGACTAATGGAGTCTCTGAAAAGGTTCAAATTGGTACTTTAATTAAGAGGCGTGATTCTGTAACAAACAGAGAGGTATTGGGACAACAGCTGTGGTCCCGAGGCTGCAGCGATGGAGAGAGACTGAGATCACGTTGTTCCCAGTCTGTGGCCGTTTCTCAATCGCGAGGATGCTTGCTTGGTAGCACATGTCTTCCGAGTCACTTGCTTCAGAAGCTAGGCAACAATCCTTCCTGGCATTCGGAAAACGAAGAGTGGAACAGGCTAGCAAGTGTGCAGTTGTGCGTCATATGAGAGGCCCCGCCTTACATTTTCCGCCACAGATTTGGGGAAATTGGTCCGTGCGCAAAGCATTGTGGGGATTTTAAGGACGCGAAGTATACCCATGTGCAGCCTAGAAATTACCCCCAAACCAAGGACGCGGCCTCGGTGGAATTCCAAGTATGCTGGACATTGGAACAGTCCTTCGGCGGCACTCGATGACGTAGCATCCTTGAAATATTGGCTTGGAAGCCAGTATCCTCGCGATTGAGAAAGGCCTTTATCTATTCCTTGGCTCCTCCTTTCAATGGCGGCTGTGACGTAGGGGGTCCTCCCACCTCTTCTTCTGTGTCCGATGTCGCGCATAACAGAGGATTTAGACGTTGTGTGTTCATTGTATACGCCTTTTCTCCTCATACACTCATTCATGACATTTTAACGGCTGTAATCGTTGTTAACGTAAAACCGGAAGTGGTCACTGTTGACAACGGCAACGCCTTTCAATACAGCTTTTCAAAGTAAACTTAACCGGAAATGTTTTCAGAATGAAACCGTTTTAAGCTTACTGTGTGTTTAAGCTAAATTACATCATTCAATATTGATTTACATTTCTTACACTATTAAAAAACGCCCTTATGCCCCTGGATACCTCCACCCTTCTATGTGTGTGTTATATATAGAAACATGTGATATCTTGTCTCTTCTCAGTACGTGTTCGATGTGAAGAAGCTGGAGGACGAGGTTCTGATCTGCTTACAGCAAAAAGAGAAGAGAGCCACCCCCAAAGACGGGAAAGGGGAAAACCTGGCCATAGGATTCGATATCCACCGGGTAGGAACACACACTCTGTAAACACCAATAAAAACCAACCAAACAAAGCCCTCGGCAAGGCAAGTGTATTTATATAGCACCTTTCAACACAAGGCAATTCAAAGTGCGTTTCAAAAATCATTAAGAGCATAAAGAAATAGTGCAGCAGAAACATCCATATCAAATAGCATTTAAAAACACTCATTTAAAAGCAGAGATAATAAAACATCAACAAACAATGACACAGGTACATGGATACAAGTTACAGTGCAGTGTGAGATGTGAATAGTTCAATTAAAAGCAGCGGCAAAAAGTCTTCAGCCTGGATTTAAAAGTAGTCAGAGTTGCAGCGGTATTTTGAAACCAATTCTTTGACGGACAGGAAGCCAGTGTAAAGACTTCAAATTCAAAGATTCAAGATTCAAAGGTTTTATTGTCATATAAGATAAGATGGACTTTTATTAATCCTCGTGGGGAAATTGTTTCTCTGCATTTGACCCATCCTAGTGTTAGGAGCAATGTGCTGCCATTTTGAACGGCGCCCGGGGAGCAGTGTGGGGAACGGTGCCTTGCTCAGGGACACCTCGGTAGCACTTGGTCTTTCCGGGACTTGAACTGGTGACCTTCCAGTTGCCAAGCTAAGTCCCTGTCGACTTCGCCACCACCGCCCAGATGCATATGCACAAAGCTACAGGGTAGAAATGGCAATGAAACCCTTCTGACCTGAGCTCCTCCCACAATGCAACATATATCATAAAATACAAAAATAAAAAGTAGTGCAAAAAGTCTCTATACATGTAAATAGAAACTTCAGAACTGGAGTGATGTGATCCACTTTCTTCGTGTTAGTGAGGCGTTCTGAATTTGCAGGACTGAACTTTTTAGTGAGACCTGTAAAGACACCATTACCGTAGTCCAGTCTATTGAAGATAAAAGCATGGACGGTGAGTAACTCCTCCCCTTCCTGCTGCAGGTGGAGCTGAACAGGAAGTACCGGATGCACTCGGCTCAGCAGAAAGTTGCCGGATCGATTTACATAAACTCCCGCTGCGTGTTCCTCAGGAAGGAGATGCAGGAGGGGCGATACGTCATCATCCCCACGACCTTCGACCCCGGGCAGCAGGGAGACTTCCTGCTGAGGGTCTTCACTGATGTGCCTTCAGACTGCAAGTAAATCTGATGTCATATCACCTGACCACAAAGTACACATCCTTTACTCAGGTAGAAGTACAGATACTGGTGTTTAAAATACTCTGGTAAAAGTAGAAGTACTGACTAAACTTCTTTACTCAAGTAGAAGTAAAGAAGTTACTTTACTCCACTACTTATTTTTCTGACGACTTTTTACTTTGACTTCTTACATGTTGAACACAAATACCTGTACTTTCTACTTCTTACATGTTGAACACAAATACCTGTACTTTCTACTTCATACATGTTGAACACAAATACCTGTACTTTCTACTTCTTACATGTTGAACACAAATACCTGTACTTTCTACTTCTTACATGTTGAACACAAATACCTGTACTTTCTACTTGTTACATGTTGAACTCAAATACCTGTACTTTCTACTTCTTACATGTTGAACTCAAATACCTGTACTTTCTACTTCTTACATGTTGAACTCAAATACCTGTACTTTCTACTTCTTACATGTTGAACTCAAATACTTGTACTTTCTACTTCTCTCATTTTCCAAACAGCTGGTTCCTTTAGTCTGAATGTGTGTTTGATGCGTGATCATTATTCTTTAGAGTCATTGCGTGCCTATTGATTTGAACACGATCCGTGTATCCATCATTTCCTGGTCTTCTCTAAAGAAGAGGGACCAATGGAAACGTTGTCATGTTGCCGTTGTTCAGCATGGAAACATTCATTAGCTAACAATGACATTATTGTTCTATTAATATAAAGGGAGGTCAGGTACTCTTTAAAACAGCTGCTAGTTATGGGTACTTTTTACTGAAGTACATTTCAAAGCCTCTTTACTTTGACTCGAGGAAAGAAGTTTAGTCAGTACTTCTACTTTCACCAGAGTATTTTTAAACATGAGTATCTGTACTTCTACTTGAGTAAAGGATGTGTACTTTTGCCATCTCTGCCTTTAAGTCCAAATGTAGTACCCTCTTAGTCCCAGGTAGAGTTTTCTGACCCTGTGCCCCCCCCCCCCCAGAGAGCTGACTCTGGACGAGCCCCCTCAGACCTGCTGGACGGGGATGTGTGGATACCCTCAGCTCGTCACTCAGGTCCACGTGATGAACGCTGAGGGTCTGCAGGGCCAGGACAACAACGGAGGTACGATCCTTTATTCTTTATGAGGATCCCCATTAGCATTAGCAAGAGCGTTGGCTATTCTTCCTCGGGTCCTCACACACAGTCAAACCTACATTAAACAAAACAGCTCTTTTAGCCAATCAGTATCTTCTTCCCCCTGATCCCACTGTGAGCTGCCTGTTGATGCTCATGTTCCTGTTTTAAACTCCTGTTAACAGAGCTTCACCTCCTCAATCCCAGCAAGGAAAGACTTCTGATCAAAGGCCGAGGTACCACAGCGCCCCCTGCTGGGACCCTTCGTTTAGATGGAGTCTGCAGAGAAACAGCCCCTCACCTGTAGAGAGAAACAGCCCCTCACCTGTAGAGAGAAACAGCCCCTCACCTGTAGAGAGAAATAGTCCCTCACCTGTAGAGAGAAACAGCTCCTCACCTGTAGAGAGAAATAGTCCCTCACCTGTAGAGAGAAACAGCTCCTCACCTGTAGAGAGAAATAGTCCCTCACCTGTAGAGAGAAATAGTCCCTCACCTGTAGAGAGAAGCAGAGAAACAGCCCCTCACCTGTAGAGAGAAGCAGAGAAACAGCCCCTCACCTGTAGAGAGAAACAGCTCCTCACCTGTAGAGAGAAACAGCCCCTCACCTGTAGAGAGAAATAGTCCCTCACCTGTAGAGAGAAACAGAGAAACAGCCCCTCACCTGTAGAGAGAAGCAGAGAAACAGCCCCTCACCTGTAGAGAGAAGCAGAGAAATAGTCCCTCACCTGAGAGAGAAACAGCTCCTCACCTGTAGAGAGAAACAGCCCCTCACCTGTAGAGAGAAATAGTCCCTCACCTGTAGAGAGAAACAGCCCCTCACCTGTAGAGAGAAACAGCTCCTCACCTGTAGAGAGAAACAGCCCCTCACCTGTAGAGAGAAATAGTCCCTCACCTGTAGAGAGAAGCAGAGAAACAGCCCCTCACTGCCTGTAGGGAGGGGCGGGCCGGCCCTGCGAGTAAAGTAACGAGTTACTTTATGCAGAGAGTAACGAAGTAGTGTAATATATTACTTTTTTAAAAAGTAATATGTAATATATTACTTTTTTTTTAGTAACGACCCCATCTCTGTTTGTTTTGTATTATGAAAATTAATTGATTATCTTCAGGTTTGAAAAGAAACAAACAACATGTACCTTGGCCTGTGGGACATTATGACTAATTGTTCTTTATTTTATAGATCAAACATTGATATAACTAATTAAAAGTTTCTCTTGAGTCTTTCATCAGGCAGAATTCATACAGAAAACACTGAGGACCAAAACATCGTCTTAATTACATTCAGTTTTTTTAATCCCACTAAGATCTCTTGAAATGACGACCTTGAGATGTATTGATAAAAAAATAATTAAACCCTGTTTTAAAAATGAATCCGTGCTGAATCAGCACTTCTAATCAGAGGTGGACATGCAGCAGATAAACGATGGTAATCACAGCGTCTGAATTTAAATGCTTTTTATCTCCTTCAGTTGTGGATCCGTACGTGATCATCACCTGTGAAGGAGAGAGGGTTCGATCGCCGGTTTATAAGGACACTCGCTGCCCAAACTTCGACATCAAAGGCCTGTTTTACCGCAAGAAACCCAAAGAAGGAATCCACATCGAGGTGAGCCATCTCTCTGCCTCTGAAGCACGCCATCTAGCTTTCATCCAAAATGACTTAGGAGGAATTAAGTATTTGATCCATTGCAGATTTTTTTAAAAAGCACAACAATTGATACAAAATAACAGTCTCTTCAAAAACTGTAAAGAAAAGTACACTCCCCCTGCCCCCACTGGACCTGGACTTTAACACACAAACACACATACACATACACACACACACACATACACACACACTCTCTCCCTCTCTCTCTCTCTCACAAACACACACACACACAGACACTTATTACGCTGCTATGGACAGTCTTGCACTAATGTACATTTCTCAAAGATATTGAAGTGACTGTTATTTTCTATACACTTTGAAGTCTGACTCCTTTCCCTCTCTTCCAGATCTACAACAAGAACATGATCGTGGACACCTTCCTGGGTCAGGTGATCCTGTTCAGCGACCCGAACGAGCGCCAGGAGAATCAAACCCTCCACCTCCGAGACAAAGGCAGCCGTCAAGACAGCGATCTGCCGGGAACGCTCACTGTGCGCCTCATCACCTCCACGGCGCTCACAAACATCTGACAAACCGCCATCTTTGATCTGAATCCAACACCAATCCAACATCTGACAAACCGCCATCTTTGATCTGAATCCAACACCAATCCAACACCAATCCAACATCAATCCAACACCAATCCAACATCCGACTAACCGCCATCTTTGATCTGAATCCAACACCAATCCAACACCAATCCAACACCAATCCAACACCAATCCAACACCAATCCAACATCAATCCAACACCAATCCAACACCAATCCAACACCAATCCAACACCAATCCAACACCAATCCAACACCAATCCAACACCAATCCAACATCCGACTAACCACCATCTTTGATCTGAATCCAACACCAATCCAACACCAATCCAACACCAATCCAACACCAATCCAACACCAATCCAACATCAATCCAACATCCGACTAACCGCCATCTTTGATCTGAATCCAACACCAATCCAACACCAATCCAACATCAATCCAACACCAATCCAACATCAATCCAACACCAATCCAACATCAATCCAACACCAATCCAACACCAATCCAACACCAATCCAACATCAATCCAACACCAATCCAACATCAATCCAACACCAATCCAACATCAATCCAACACCAATCCAACATCAATCCAACACCAATCCAACACCAATCCAACACCAATCCAACATCAATCCAACACCAATCCAACATCAATCCAACATCAATCCAACACCAATCCAACACCAATCCAACATCAATCCAACATCAATCCAACACCAATCCAACATCAATCCAACATCAATCCAACATCAATCCAACACCAATCCAACACCAATCCAACATCCGACTAACCACCATCTTTGATCTGAGTCCAACACCTGACGCTCATCTGTTTGCATCTACTCGGGCTGCGATCCTCCAAACACGGCGGGCGCTCACGATGTCTGTTCTTATTGGGTGTGAATGCTGAGAAACACAACATTATGTTTTTCAACTTTGTTGAAAGTTCTGACACGTTTTTCGATTGCCTTCTTCTCCCACATGTTGCATCGCAGAGACTCTGTTCATCCTAACATTCAGCTCGATTAAGACATGCGCGCTATTACTTTGAAACGTACTTGCCAACCTTGAGACCTCAGAAATCGGGAGCATTTCAAAACCACCGCGGGGGGGGGGTGCTAGTGGATCGCCGGAGCTGTGTTAGCTTAACATGCTTGTAGTTGTAAGTGCCTTGATGGAGCATATGTGTGGGCTGGACCTGTGAGGAGTGAGCAGGAGGGAGTTTTGTCGATTCTTGTTCAGTTTTCTGTGACTTATCTTCCTCACCCTCTCAGACTTTTAGTTACGCGCGCTAATAAAGAGACGCGCTACCATGGAAAACCAAACAATGGTGTAGCTGTATTAAAGTCCGAGTGGTCAGAAATCGGGAGAAATGCGGGAGAAATATGACCCCGGGAGGAAACCGGGAGAGGGCAATGAAATCGGAAGTCTCCCACGAAAATCGGGAGGATTGGCAAGTATGCTTTGAACATCCATCATTCCCAGAAATATTACCCACAATTCATCCAAACGTAGCTACAGAAGTCATCACGTTTAAGCCAGCATTGCCGTTCGGCGTCATACAGCATTCACACCGCAATCTCTTCAGAATGGCATTCTCTTGTTTGGTGTGAAGCTGGAAGCCATATGTTCTTCTACTGAGTTTGATTCGCTTCTTCTCCCAAATTCCTGATCGCAGTCAGATTTCAGCATTCACACCGCAATTTCTTCCGTACACTTTATTGGACCTTATCTTCTTCCTCTCATAAACTCCGTCCAAAACGTGAAACTGCACCTTCATAATTTCCCTTATTCAAACTTCAAAATGTTCCACGTCTTTCGGACATTGAAATCAGATTTCAGCATTCACACCGCAATCTCTTCAGGAGTTGAATTCTCTAGCTTCTTTTTGCTTCTGGAGGCTTTTTGACGGCCGACACATATTTGTGGATAAGACAATGTTTAAAATCTCTGAACACATTCCTGCCCCCACGTTCGCTTCAGAAAGGTGTTCTTAAAGTCTTTCCCCTCACACACACACCTTTACATGCAGACGTGTGTGTGTGTTTCCATGCATGTGCCAATGCTTCCAAAGGGCTATGCATTGCCTTAAGGTCGAGTCTCCACCTTGAGGAGACGGAGGATAACACACTTTCTCCATCCTCACAGTTAGCACAGCCTCCATTTCTTTTGCTTTTCGTTTTGCGTCTTATTTAAAAACGTGGATTCTCGTCCCGCCCTCTTTCACCAGTTTGCCGGTGCTTTCCGAGAGCATGCAGCACTGTCTGTCACTTCGTATCTCCACAAAGGGAAGCCAACAGCAGCTCCTCTGTTGTTGTTGTTGTTGTTGTTGTTGTTGTTGTGTGAAATCCTGCCTCCCGTCTTCCTTTAGAGACACAAGACGCTTTCTGCCGGTTGCTATGGATGATCTAAAATAAACTGCATGGCTTTAAAAAGAAACTCTCTGCCTGTGCTGCACATTTGACCGGTCGTAGCTTAGCAGCCGGTGCTACTCTCCCCCTTTCCTCCCCCAATGTGTACACAGCCCAGTGGAGTGCAAGGATCTCACCCGGACATAATCAAGTGCTTTATGGGACTACTTTCTGAGTCCCTTTCAAACACACCCCTGTGCCACTTCATCTCTTAACGGCAACACCACTGCCTGGCGCAGACTGTGTGTGTGTGTGTGTGTGTGTGTGTGTGTGTGTGTGTGTGTGTGTGTGTGTGTGTGTGTGTGTGTGTGTGTGTGTGTGTGTGTGTGTGTGTGTGTGTGTGTGTGTGTGTGTGTGTGTGTGTGTGTGTGTGTGTGTGTGTGTGTGTGTGTGTGAATTGTTATTATACCTGGAAGAAAAAAGGACCTGTAGAGGACAAAGGTGTGACCCCGAAATTGAACAACAGCCCTTTAGCGGAGCACACCTTGCACTTTGTTTAATTTAAATAAGGGGGATAAAGACCCTCGATGGATGGAATAGAAGGAGGAGATGAAGGCGTTCTGTGCCATCGCCTCCTTCACGAGAGGAAGTGTTGATTTCAGGAGGATTTCTGACGGCGTTTGCATCTTGAACCAACACTGGTACAAAGTCATCTCTATTGAACTCTGGCATTCCTCCATCGTGTGTTCAAACTCTTTTAGCACCTGGGTCTTTTGTGACAGAAGCCCAGACTGAAAATCAAGTGTTTTTTAATTTTCATTCCAAGTTTTATTGACTTCTTGGTCGTGTGTATGGAGGCTGACAGGTGCTAACGCTACAACGAGCCACACGTCTTCCATCAGGAGAACAACGCCACAACACAGCAGCGTTTAGAAAACATTCAGCAACTTGAGGAGACATGCGCAGCGTTTACTAAAAGCCGCAGAAACCGAACGCTGCAAGAAGCTCAAAACACAACGAGACCAGAGGACACTAAAGAGAGACGCACACAGCTGGGAGACCAGGGGACACTAAAGAGAGACACACACAGCTGGGAGACCAGGGGACACTAAAGAGTGACGCACACAGCTGGGAGACCAGGGGACACTAAAGAGAGACGCACACAGCTGGGAGACCAGGGGACACTAAAGAGTGACGCACACAGCTGGGAGACCAGGGGACACTAAAGAGAGACGCACACAGCTGGGAGACCAGGGGACACTAAAGAGTGACGCACACAGCTGGGAGACCAGGGGACACTAAAGAGAGACGCACACAGCTGGGAGACCAGGGGACACTAAAGAGTGACGCGCACAGCTGGGAGACCAGGGGACACTAAAGAGTGACGCGCACAGCTGGGAGACCAGGGGACACTAAAGAGTAACGCGCACAGCTGGGAGACCAGGGGACACTAAAGAGTGACGCGCACAGCTGGGAGACCAGGGGACACTAAAGAGTAACGCACACAGCTGGGAGACCAGGGGACACTAAAGAGTGACGCACACAGCTGGGAGACCAGGGGACACTAAAGAGTGACGCACACAGCTGGGAGACCAGGGGACACTAAAGAGTGACGCACACAGCTGGGAGACCAGGGGACGCTAAAGTGTGACGCACACAGCTGGAGACCAGGGGACACTAAAGAGTGACACACACAGCTGGGAGACCAGGGGACACTAAAGAGTGACGCACACAGCTGGAGACCAGGGGACACTAAAGAGTGACGCACACAGCTGGGAGACCAGGGGACACTAAAGAGTGACGCACACAGCTGGAGACCAGGGGACACTAAAGAGTGACGCACACAGCTGGGAGACCAGGGGACACTAAAGAGTGACGCACACAGCTGGAGACCAGGGAACATTAAAGAGTGACACACACAGCTGGGAGACCAGGGGACACTAAAGAGTGAGGCACACAGCTGGGAGACCAGGGGACACTAAAGAGTGACGCACACAGCTGGAGACCAGGGGACACTAAAGAGTGACACACACAGCTGGGAGACCAGGGGACACTAAAGAGTGACGCACACAGCTGGGAGACCAGGGGACACTAAAGAGTGACGCACACAGCTGGAGACCAGGGAACATTAAAGAGTGACACACACAGCTGGGAGACCAGGGGACACTAAAGAGTGACGCACACAGCTGGGAGACCAGGGGACACTAAAGAGTGACGCACACAGCTGGAGACCAGGGAACATTAAAGAGTGACACACACAGCTGGGAGACCAGGGGACACTAAAGAGTGACGCACACAGCTGAGAGACCAGGGGACACTAAAGAGTGACGCACACAGCTGACACTAAAAAGCTGTGTGCGTCACTCTTTAGTGTCCCCTGGTCTCCATTGTGTTTGAGCTTCTTGAGCGTTTGGTTTCTGCAGCTTTCAGTAAACGCTGCGCATGTCTCCTCGAGATGCTGGAGAGGTTTCTTCGTGTTTTTCTATCTGCATCTTTTTGAAGCTGTAGCGTTTACCTCCTACAGGAAGTGTGTTGGGACGCTGTAGCGCGCTTTGAACCCGTCAGCCACCGTAGATGTTGTCATTATCGAGACATTTCCCTTTGAATGTAGTGGACGAATCTCTCAAATGATCGAAGTCCGTTTTTCATTTCTTCAGCGCCTTTTCCATTACTTGAACTGTCACACGGCATTTAACGGATCCTTGATCACGACCTTCTTTGTTACTTTTATAAATGTGTCTTGCATGGGTTCTTTTCCGGTTCATGGCCTTGTATTGTACTGTTCAACTGTTACTATATATATTCTTTCTCTCTCTCAAGAGTCTTGGACATGCTAGTTTTGAGCAGTGAGCATGAACACTAATGCACCTCTGATCATATCAACAGGTTTGAAATGTCTCGTGATGATCATAATGCCTCTAGTTGTTGACTCCTCGTTAGGTGCTATTAATGACTTCTTGTTGTTTGGGACAGATCGTGGGAAACAGTGTTAGAAAATGAAGTGCCAAGCAGTGTGAGTAACGTAGTAACTGTTGAAGTGTCTTTGAGCAAGGCACTAGTGGAGTGGCTGTCAGGTGTGAATGTCTCCATGTCAGTACTGTAGATATGTTGAAATTCATCTTGAAATAAGTGTGGGGTAATGGGTTGGAGGGAGAGGTTTCTGG